ACTGTGAGAGGCGCCGTAGTCCACAGTCAAAGGGTGGAGCAAGGGCAAGCAAGCCAATCTCAAGTGAGTTCAGGCCCGTGTCGAATGCAGTGAAGCAGCACCAGTGCCGTTGTCAAGGAAGAGGTGGTTGAGGCACCAATGGAATAGCCGCGGATGAAGGGTTCACACTCTTGGAGGCCCTCACGATCACGAAAGTAGGGCCAGCCACCAGCAGCATCACAGGGCAACGACGTGTGCTCGCCCGACGGGCACCACCCGGGGCTTGAGCCTTGAACCATGTATGAATGTAAGGTAATGTAATGTAATGGTATGTACTGGTATGTAATGGTAGGTATGTATGTATGTATGTATGTAATGGTAGGTAGGTAGGTATGTATCTATGTATCTATCTATCTATCTATCTATCTATGTGTCTATCTATCTGTCTATCTGTCTATCTATCTATCTATCTATCTATGTCTGTCTGTCTGTCTGTCTGTCTGTCTGTCTGTCTGTCTGTGTGTGTGTATATATAATTGTTTGTTTTTGAGTGTGTGTTACACAACATTTGGCCACAAGGCGAAGCGAACCAGAGCTGGTTGCCTTTTCTTTTCAGCCAGAAAAGCATGTTAGACATTCAGTTATTTGCAGTTTCCAAACCACATGCGTTCGGGTGTTTGTGTTCACGCCTCACGCGTTTTGTGCTTTTGCCCTCCCGCGATTGGTCCATTCTTGATCGCGCAAGGTGTCGAGCCAGGCGCCTTCCAAGAGGCTTCCGAGACGTTGCTTTTGGTGTGGCTCCTGGACTCATGGTGTGCTTCGAGGTGTGAAAAGCAAAGTGTTGGTGGTTGGGTGTCGTAGTTGCTTGCGCATTTGAGATGCCAAGGTAGCTCCAGAATACCAAGCTTTGTCCATGCCTCATATGATCTCATATGCCTCAGGGTCCGAGGTCTTCAGGGGCAGAGTGAGAGATGCTGATGCAACGAAAGCAGCGGGGGAGCAAACACATGCATGTTTTGTGATCCGCTTTTAGAGCTTGGATCGAGGCGAACGCTTGTACTGGATTATTTTGACAGTCAGATGCTTAGGAGTGTCGTGTTTTGAGAAGAACTGACAAACGCACAACTGTGTTTAATGATTTCTCAATGTTCCTCAGGCATCAGCAGATGCGTGACAAATGATCACATGATCTTCTCTTTCGACAAGGGCATGATGTGTGGTGAAGGCTTAGCAAGTTGTGTTGAATGAGGCGGCTTTCTTTTTGCCTTTGTGTAAGACAACAGTCCCCACCTGCCCGATGCTCACAGGCGACTGCGAGCTTGTTGAGCAGATCGGACTGTGCCTGGGTGCGCTTGACACCTGGGAAGTGCTTTCAGTTACATGCAGCTGCATCGATCTAAGAATCTAGTTGCAGTAATGAGTTGATTGTCCCACACACCTGTGTATATAGAAAACATATCAAGGGCACTTGGAGGTGTTGTCGGGCGGGCGCAAGGCGGATATGGACATTGTATATAGTCGGAAGGCCAACAAGCCAACAACATTCCAACTGCCAACTTTGATTTTGAATTTCTTTGAGGTTTGGAAACTATTGGGAGTACAGGTTAATTTTTTGATTAAGTATGATGAAGTTAACTTGACTTAAAGAGATGACCAAGATTCATACAAAGCAGGGGGCACACGGTCCTCCAGTTGTTCCTTGCTCGGTGTGGGAGATTGGGAGGCCTGGATGCTGCTCGGCGAGAAGCGCCCCAGCTCTTGACGGGAGAGCGCCCAGAGCTGTTCGGGTCACCTAGTCGGCGAGATAGACTAGGAACAAGGTTCGCTACTAGGGGCTCCTGGCATCGCTACTAGGAGCAAGAATGCTACTATTACTAGGGGCTCCTGGCCTTACTACTAGGAGCAAGGACGCTACTAGGGGCTCCTTGCCTTTGAACATTGCCTGGTTTGCACATCATGAATATGGATCTTCCAGCCGGAGGGTTCTTTATGTTGGAGGCCCCATTAATTGGCACTGCTTCAGGCAGAGCGTTTCAATGCAAACCCTTTGGCCTGCGGTGCTGTAAGTGCTGAACCATCGCTGAAACCAACCCAAGCTCGTTGCACGGTACACTTGTCACTGTAGGCACAGGACCCCAGCAATGCTTGGAAGTCCTGGAAGTCACCAACTCACTCCGCTGAGCTTCTCCAACTAAGCTTGGAGCTTTTCCCAGAGCTGGCTTGGTTTCGGGACACAGTGTTCCTTTGGAAGATGCCGGGTGCTTGGCTGCAGTGACACTGGGTGTCCTGAAAGAATGCACTCAGAATTGCATTGTATAAACGAACTGGTGTAGCTCTTTTTCAGCCATGGGGCCAGCTTATTTGAAAGACACACCTGGCTCTCCTGACGCAGATGATGCTGAACCCCGAAGCTTTATGTGGAAGTCGGAAGGCTGCTTCTTCCAGCATGCCAGTGCCCAGCGGTGCAGAAATGGTGTGGAACTCAGAGTGTAAACGTTTGGCCAGTTTGTTCAGCACGACCAAATCTATCCCCGCTTAGGCGCGCCTCTGATTCATCTCTGAAGTGGCAGTACAAGTTGGGGAGCTTGGCTACTGAGGGTATGAAGCAGACAATGAGGAAGAGTGTAATAACACATAGAATAACTGTCATGATCTGGAGAGTCTAAGTCGGATTCTGATGTTTGTAGATGGGTGGAATTCCAGGGCTGAGTTTGAGCATGGCCGAGTCAGCATCAGGAAGGGTCGCTTCGAAGTCATCGGCTTTCAGACCACCTTGACGCCAGAGGAGCTTTGACTGTGGAGATTCATGGAAGATTTGGTGCTGCCTGGGCACTGGAACGACCACTTTAGAGGTTTTGTTCCAGCTTCAACGCAAGCCAATCCAAAGTGCTTGAAACAGTGTTTTGAAACATCCACTTTTGTGGGAGCAGTTTTGCCTGCTCCACAACCTTTTTTAGTTCAAGCCAATTGATTGAGAAGCAACGGGCTTGAAGTGTGTTCAATGCGATGTTGAGGGGAGCCCTGTGAGTTGGGAAGACCGCTTTCGCTACAAAGCAGTTTTGAGAAGAGCAAGCAAAGATAAGTAGAGAACGTATTCGTTGTATTGAAGGAACAACATATGAAACATAACTATTTCTATTTTATTCTTGCAAACACGCCGGCCGTAGATAAGCATGAATCAGCGCATCCGGATTCAAGGAAGGGATTGACAGATGTGTCAGGCCAAGGCCAGCAAACCAGGCTTTTTGCAAGGAGTGTTGCGCTGGTGTGGGACTCGGGCGAAAGCTTCGAGGAATTCCTTTTGCAGTCGAGTTCGGATGTACCATCATGATTCATAACCACAACATATGTGCACAGTAGTAATTCTATAGCAAGAAGCTACTGCGAACAAAGGGCATCGCTACTAGGAGCAAGAAGCTACTAGTAGCTCCTGGCATTACTACTAGGAACAAGAAGCTACTAGGAGCAAAGTAGAGACGTTCCAGGGACTTGTCACTTGTCAAGTCCTGGGGGGCCTCAGGTTCGGCCAATACGAGTCAGACAAGAAGAGCCTCAGTCGTGCAAGCCCATCTGTGCGACCGGGAGCTGTTGTAGGTGATCCTGGTTGAACTTCATGTGTCAAATTTGAACCAGTCTTTGAAGGATGTACAGTGGGACATTCAGATTCAAGGTTGCTAAAGCCAAGAATGCTCGATGGATGTGTGGCCTTCGTGCAATCAAGGTACTCACTGGATCGTCCCAAGAGCTGGTGAATAATGAGGACCCAATCGCGGTGTTTTTCTGTACGTTTGGCAGTACAGTATATAGTTGAACAATGATTGAACCATTAATATGTGCAGGATGATGTGCTCTTCTTGAAGGAGCTGCCCAGTTTCAATGGAGCCACGCCCTTGGAGAGTTTAGCACAGCTGTATTGCTAAACCGATGATCTGCCCGCACAATCTGCTCGACTGAGTCCGACTGCTCAAAAGGGAGCGTACATCAATCGCATGTCCAACGTTTGCATGGCCTCCTTATTGTATATGTTTATATATGTCTTTCACTGCAAAGCTATTCTGTCAGAACTTTGCACATTTAGTCCATCATGCGAGTTGTTCTGCCCATGGCTTAGACAAGTATTTTGTCGCATCTTGATACTCCAACCGCCATTGTGATGGACGATTGGGATCCTTTTGCTGATCCGGCTGATGCTCCCCCACCTGGCCCTGCTCGAGGAGTGGTGGGCCAAGAAGGGCGGTTCACGGATGATGTGCTGGTGCCGCCGGACCCGGTACCTTTAGCAGCGCCGGAGGATACGCCAGAAATCCCGAGTGCAGAAGAGCTCCAGCAGCAACTGGAACAAGAAGGCACTTTGAGCAGCGTTTGCCCCGAGCTGGTGCAAGCGGCCTTTGAGGGAGACGAGAAAAAGGTGGAGGACTGGCTGTGATGGTAAGCCTGATGGTAGCTTGAGTGGGGAAACTCGCAAAGACAAAGACTCAGATGAGGCCTTCTTGACTCTTGTTGACTTGGAACACCAAAAGCTGTTTCCCTCAGCTTCAACGCAATCTTGATGCTTAGTTTCCTAATGATTTTTTTTGACCTTAGACGAGTCTCTGGACCCTTTGTCAAGGAACTCCTCAGAGCTGGGGCAGATCCCAATAGCATTTGGGTGCGGGAGGAGCGTCTCAAGGGAAGACTCTCGGCTGTCAGTATGATGCTGGAGCACAGTAATCGGCAAAAAAAAATAAAATATATCTTTGTTTGGATGTCAGCAATCAGAATCTCTTGTGGCTTATGGCTCATTCACTTGTGCCCTGAGGTGATGGGTGTTGCCAATGTGCCATCAGTTGGGAGGATTGGGCTTTATGGCCAGGTCAGTCTGAGACTGAAGATTTTTCGATTCTGGAAATTTGAAGAGCGAGCCACTTCCCTTCAGCTCATGTAGAGGGAGTCGGCAAAGGAACCAAAAACACAATGTGTCAGGGTCTGGCTAACGTTTAGCAAGCAGCTGAGAGGAGTACACGGGCCTCGTTGCAGCCTGCATGGAGATGAACCACAAGATTTGTGAGATGCTGCTGATGCACAAGTACACAGATGTGCCTCTCGGATTGAGGGTCAGAAACTGCACTGCCGACAATGTCCATGCTTCTGCAAAAACACACCAATTTACTCAGGAACGTGGTGTGCTGCGGTTTGCACGAATTTGGGCCGTACAAGCACTTCACTGTTCTGGACATGGCGAAGCAGGTGCGGAGTCCACTGGTGGAGAAGCTGCTCGCAATGGGTGCCAAACCTGCAGCCACCTGGTGACATCCACCTCAATCGCTTAGACTTTGCACAGAGAGAGGCAGAGAGAGGCAGAGAGAGGCAGAGAGAGAGAGAGATAGACTCAGTGCATACGGATTCGGATTCGAGGCCAAGTGCGCTGTGCCGCCGTGGCCACGGGATGCTGCCCCAGCTGAGGCCGCGTTGCCGGCGCCGCCTGGCGGTGTGCTGGGTGCCGCTTGTTTGCCCCTCCTGGAGCGCATGCAGCAGCACAGGCGCGGAGTGCAAGAGGTTTGAGATGGTTTAAGAGGTGGCCGCTGCTGTCTTTCGCAAAGAGTGAGCAAGTAATACGAATGTTCAATGCTTTGACAGGTTAAGTACTACGAATGTTCAATCTTTGACAGGTTATGACTATGACCTTTGCAATTCTGTTGACAAGAACCCTAACGTCTGACGTGGTTGCTTTCTTGGTGCTTTGAAGCCTTCTGAGATCTTCTGACACTGTCTAACGCACATGCACGGGTAAGAGGGGGTAGCCTTATGCGTGCTCAGCCCAGGAGGGCAAGTGTTGGTGAACGAAGCCGACTTTTCAGGCAGATGATGCTGGAGTGCCTCAGTTTGTTGTTGGGCTTGCTCACGCACACCAATCAAGCTTCACAGTTTGTTTACTGAACAAAGCCACCCACCTCACTGACAAATGCTTGCAAGATGCAAGTGTGCTGAAGACATTACAAGGGCAGTGCCTGTGGCCGGCTACGGCTACAGCCCTCGCACAATTCAACAACATGAACATAAGATACATTCCTTTCATATCGACCTCCCTCTGACAGCCACGCCCATACTACGGTTTCAGTGCTGTTGCCTAAAGGACCCGTGGATTTGCCCCGGGTGCTGAGGTGGCATCCTGACAAGAGGAGCCAGACAGAGCATGAGATTGCTACGCAGGTGTGCCAGTGGCTGCTGGGGCATGCTCGGTGCTTCACAGAATGAGAGGCGAAGGGATTTGGGAACATGGGGATCTACGGGCACTTTATAAGTTAAGCTCCCCTAAAATCCAGGAACCACACAAATAGGCGCTTCTTCAAGGAAGCTCCCCCAGCCCATAGTGCGTCCTACCTAGTAGCTTACTAGAGTCCCTTAAGTAGGCGCCTAATTAATTAAGTAGGCAGGGGGCGGAGCGGGCTTTAACTAAGACAAAGCAATGTCTCGGGGTGTATGGGGATTCTGGACAAGTGAGATGGAGTGAGATGTGGATTGTTCATTGTGCGCACCCAAGTAGAACGTTAAAGGGTAAGACGCGACCGCAACACCGCAGGCATTGGATGCTGAAGACTTACCAGCGTGCACACGGAAAAAAGCACACCTTTCCTGTCAGCGGCCGAACTGGGCATATTCGAGTGATGGGTGCTCCTTCCTGTCACGATTTGTAGGACTACTGACTACTAATACATGCAGGTTAACCTACTAATTTATTGGATTCATGCAGGTTTAACCCTGAGTCCGTTGCATTCAGGTCGCGCAATCAACGATTTCAGTTCTCATTGAATTGGATCGCTAGAGTCACTAGAGATCTGTGGGCAGACTTCAAGGCTCTTGGTGCGGCCGATGTCGAGTTGCTCCTGAGCTACCTCACGGCGTTGGGCTGCCTAGAGCCATAGAGGGTGCATTTCGAAAGAAGAAGGCTAGCACCGAGATGAAGCCACAAACATATGAAGGTGGGACTGGTTGAACCATACCATCGAATCGAAGGTTGTCTCAGAATTCATGAATTATTGTGGTTGTGGTAATTGGTGGAACTGGTTGAACTATCTTGAACTCACTTGTTCAGTTCATCACCTTTTCCAGGTTCGCCCTGAACTTGAAGAGTCATCCGCAGACCATTTTGGCCCAGCTTGTGTTTGATGTTTTCTGCATCCTCTTGAAGAGAGGCTTCACTTCCATGGAAGCCAGGAAGCGCGTGCAGAAACTCTTCGAAAAGTATGATACTTCTGGGGACGGAGTGCTTACCCAGGAGGAGATCATCCCTTTGTTTGAGACGTTTGGCATGACGCGTGGTCAATTGAATGCTTTAATCAAGGACTCGGATACAAATCAGGACTGGCCTTCAAGCAAGCAGGGGGAAGCAGGGGCTTTATTGTATGTCCTGACTATTCTTGAGTCCTGTTCAGATTTTCAATCTTGCCGTCCCTCCCACGTTCATCCTTTGGTGCACTCGTCCTGATCTGCCCTGAGGATGGTGTCATCCAAGCTCATGAGTTCCTTGCATGGCTCACGGCCGAGAAACCGCAAGTGGTGCTTGAGCGCACGGGTGATGGGCCAGAGAGCTTCTGGGAGGCAGACGCTGTGGCCGGGTCAGTTTGTGGTGACACTTACATGATTTGGACCAATTTTGCACCAAAATCAAGCTACTAGGAACAAGTGCATCGCTACTAGTAACAAGTGCCTTACTATATAATAGTAACAAGAAGCTACTAGGAATGACTCCAAATACCGTTTCCGATCCTTTCCGATGAAACGTTTGCCCCAGAATGGTTCTCCGGCGCAGCTGGAAGATAATCGGTGCATGTCATCTGCACAACTGATACTGATAGCAACTCAGAACGTGCTCGTCGAAGCTTTCCCCTAATATTGGTAAATTATGCCGATGACGCCAGCCAACTTGACGTCCTAGGGCAGTTCAAGCGGTGCAGGAGTTTGTCCATCAATAGCACACACTGCATCCTTCTTGTGCAAAACCATGAAAGGTGAAGTTGAACATTCTTGACATCTTCATCCCGATGGGGTGCCACCATCGCTTGCTTCTTACACGTCGCACTCGGAAAAAAACACCTGCCCTATGCAGTCCCGGTTCTGTCTCCAGAGGTGTGCTGTAGCTTCGCGGTTGTGTTGCATACAGTGCTGGTTTCAATCGGATAACACATTACCAGTGACATCCAGTGACCAGTAACAATCGGTATAAGATTATCACTATTTTTGAGAAAGGCCTTTACTAACTATCATCATCCACTGTTACTGGTAGCTGGAGGCTGACGCTAAGGGCTCACAGCCCCCCGGCGGCACAATCACGAATTTTTTGCATGTGCATTAAGTGGCTACATGCCCAGGGCATGTATCCCTTTCATCATGATCTTCAAAGAGTTGAGAGATGTGATGAGTTGGCTTGGCTTGGAATCCGTAGTGATTTCCCCGCCTTCAAGGGGCGGCCCATTTTTTGTTTCTGGTGCGGATCTTGCGGTCAAGCTTGACCAATATTCTTGACAGACGTCTCCGGCTGCTAGGCACATTAATTTGATTTGGAAACTGGGGGTAGACCGGCAATTTCGCACTCAGTTCAATTAAATCTCGAATTTGATCAGATTGTCAGGAATGTCTTGGATCGGCAGCGCTAATCGTGCACCACGATGAAGCATTCTCGCATTGCGTTGTCCACATTCATGTCATGGTAGGCTTGCGGTACGAAGACACTGACGGTTCGTCTTGGAGTGACAACCGCTCCTTTATATAAGTTGCAACGCGCAAACGAGTCCACTGTTATGCCAAAGCTTCCCAGGATGTTGATTTGAGTTCGTCACTGTCAATGTTTGCAGACCAATTGGTTTCTGTTATCCAGAACTCTGTCAACATCACCTTGGCTGGATGTCAGGGCATCCTTGCACGGGCTGATCTCTCTCTCTCTCTCTCTGAATCCATCGTCGCTTGAATCTCCTGCTTCTCCCCCTTGTCTCGGCCAAGCAGTTCCGCACCTATAGGATGAGGGTGACAGACACGAACACCGCTGCTTTGTGCCAACGCTCTAGCTTCGAATAAGATCATGGCACGGTTGGAAGTGCTTGGGGAAGCCTCGCTGGGCAGGATAGCAGTAATTAGCAGGATAGCGAATTTCGGATGTTCCCGTGCCCAATGTGGCCTGAATGCTGCACGACGAGTCACGACGAGCGATTTTTCTGCTAGCACTGGGGTAGATAGGGCGTCCTAAGGCGATGGGGAGAGGAAGAGGGCTGACATGATTCTAATGTGCTGCGAAATTTGCCATATAAAGTGCATTCCCATTTCAATGGTGAATTGAAGAAGTGCCACTCCTGACAGGTTGTGATACTCAACACCTCAGAGGCAGTGGAGAAGCGCTTTACTTTGAATTTCAGTCGGGGCAGCAACCTGAAGTCCAAGCCTTGGCTTCAAGGGTAGTTCTGCCCACTCTATTGGTTGACTGACGGAAGTAGAAGTCTTGAACTAGTTGTAGGCAGCGGGGCCTGAGAAACCCAGGTTCCTGGAGGGAAATCCTGCAGAGATTGTGGTGAAGCCGGGTGAGCAGATCAAGAAAAGAGTCATCGAGGTTGATGACAAGGCCTATGTGTATACTTTTGCTATGCCGGGAAGGCTGTGTCTGTTGTACACAGAGACACACATATATAGATGGATGGATGGATTGGATTGGATTAGACTGGATTAGGATAGAACAGAATAGAATAGATAAGATAAGACTAAAACTGATGAGATAAGATAAGATAAGATTATTATATAGATTAGATAAGAAAGCTAGATAGATAGATAGATAGATAGAACGCAATATATAAATGAATAAATCAATAACGAAAGATGGAAAGAAAAGGTGCCAGCCATGCACCCTGTGTAGTCAATGCCGGTGATGGTTTGCCGGTCGTGTGACACTGAAAAGGAGTCAAACAGAGGGAGGGTGAAATCATTGAAAACTATAGAGGTTTCAAGAATCATGCGGTACGCACTTGTATGACCATCAACATCAAAACTGAACGAATGTCAGCCTACACGCACCTGCATGCAAGTATCCATTTGCAATGGATGGACACGCAAAACTGAAACATTCGCGTGTGCGCGTCCGGTTTGTAGGAGGAACATTGATCAGAGCGTGGGTGTATTCTTGCGGTGGGACCGAAAGGTTGAAAGTCGAAAACAAAGTGACGTGCCCTTGGCCTTACAAGGCCTCGGAGTTTAAGAGAGCTTACCTGGATTGGTCGGCGCGCTCCAACTTTGACTTTGCCAACATGAAAGACGATCCGAACCTTTGCAGTTCATGTCGCGATTCAGACAAGCTGGTTCATGGATCAATATGCCTATAAAGTGCATATTAGTGAAGTCACCAAGTTGGAAGATCCCGATTCACCACCCAGGAACGCCTTCAAAGATGCCGACTTCCCTCATGACGCCTCAGTCCTGGGGAGCAAGCTGGCACAGGGCTGGGAAGAGTGGCACAGGGCTCGGATGATCGGAAGTCCCAACGAAGCCGTCCTGTTTGATCAAGTCCGACCTCAAGACATCGTTCAAGGTCTGAAGAGTCTGATGTGTTTTGAGTATCTTTGAGGGGAGGGCGGGCGTGTGCAGATGCATTACACTATGCATGTAGACATCGTCAGACATCCAGGCAACAGCACTTTGAGCGGTTTGACAGGATTCGTGGGAGATTGTTGGCTGATGAGTTCAATCGCCTGCATGGCCACCCATCCCTCAAAGCTGAAGAGCCTCTTCAAGGAGAAACACCTGACGGAGGACGGCCAATGCACCTGAGCATGGAACTGTGGGTTGCAAGAAAGAAAAGGAAGGAGAGAAGGAGGTAAGAATAATATCAGAATAACAACAAATCAAGCATATGAGTCATCTGAACTTGTGGCTCTTGCTCTTTGTGGCCGCAAGTCTCCGAGACCTAGTCCAGCCCTCCACCTGTGCCGCTGAGGTGATATTTTCCTCTATGACGTTGAGGGTGAGAAATGGATGACCATTACCATCGATGAATTCATTCCCTGCCTGATGTGCCACGGAGGTCCGAAGCCTTTGTTTGCCAGGCCAAAGAGCGAAGAGATTCTCCGCTTTGATTTACTCCTGGTTGGCCTCTCACCCTTCCTGCATCGAAGCATAGAAGATTACATAACGCGATACATATATTGTATTATGATTATGTATATATATATGTATGTGTGTGTGTGTGCGCGTGTTTTCAATGGACATAGATGTCGTAGAAATATAACTGACTGAACAAAGAAAGATCAAGATGGTGGATCATTCAAACGGAGTTACAACTCCTGCGGTGTCAATCCTTCCCGCTCCAGCTATTGTTTGTTTTGACATTACGGCAACTGTAATAAATGAAACTATCCAAGCTCTTTTCTTCCACGCGTTGTAACGTAAGTGATATAACTTTTAGACGCTTCTCCAAGGATTTGGGTTCTGTTGCTGGAGAAGGCCTTTGCCAAGTTGTGTGGAGGCTATCAACATATCGTTGGGGGCTTCCCAAGCTGGGCCTTTAAGGCAATGACTGGCAAGGAGAGTACGAGAGCTGTCACACATTGTGCGGAGCGGCGCAGGGATTTCACCTAACAGAGAGGAAAGGTTCCAACCTTTGACAGGAGCCGATCCAGTACAACAAGACCAAGGAGAAGACGTGGCGCAGAAGGTCGATGAATCCTGCGTATTGGCGGCGAAGCAACCCCCGTTGCATTCGTTGGAAGGAAAATATCCAAGCTATAAACGAGGAGAGCTTCGCACAGACGATCCAAGGCCTTTTGGAGGGCAAACATGCCCCTGAGCCAAAACGACTAGTTCATGGATGAGTTGGGTACTAGGTTCCGTTGTGTCTCCATGTTCTGGGGCAGTATTGAGGTCCAAGTATCAAGTGTCCAAATGAGGTTGTGGCGACCTGGACGGACACAACGCACGGAGAGAAGTACAAGGTACTTGATAATGGGCTCATCACCGTCCATGCATACTCTATCACCAGGCTAGTCTTCGAAAAGAAGGACAATGGGACACCAGTATGTCTCATTCAGCTGCGCAATCCGCATGGCAAGAACGAGTGGAACGGTGCCTGGAATGATTACTTTGGAGCGAATGACTGGCATGAGAATCCTGAGCTCCGCAAACGCGTGAATGTGCTTTGCAAGGACTCGGGCTTGGACCCCCGCTTGCGTGTCTGAGAGGTCTGAGTTAATTGTATATGTAATGTTGATTCATGATGATTCATGTTGGTCTTTCAAGGTTCTTACCTGGAAGGCTAGGCCTTCACTGTCAAAACTCGCGCTCTTCGCCTTTCAGGATGATGGCAGCTTTTGGATGTCGTTTGAGGACGCCAGGGTTGAGGTTTCCTCGTTTTGGGTTTCCGAAAAGCTCCAGGTGCACTGGGATGAGCAATTAATTGAGCCACTGAAGCCACCACACAAGGCAGGAGCCGGGGTAAAGGATGGCAAACAACATCGCATCCCGGCAGGACTTCACCTTTTACTTCCAATATGTGACCGTTTGCCCGATTGGCAGCACGCCCATTCCTGAACAGGGAGATGGTGAAGAAATGGACGTAGATGGAGGGCCAGTGGCCTGAGCATCGTTAAAGGGGTTGCAGATGTAGGCTCATATACTGGTACATGGTACATGTGAATCCTTTTGTTTAGAAAGCGAGCTTGTCTTTCTGCATGTAGTATGGATTTCTTGCGCCATCTCACCTCTGGATGTGACGGTGGCTCATTTTGAGAGCCGTGCTCGCAAGTTCTGGCTCCAAAGGAGCCCAAAGAAGGCTTACTGTACTGGGCGGGGCAAATGCTGCTGCAGCGGGAAGGCAGCAGTAAGGGAAATGGTTGGATGGATGGGCACATCCAGCAAATGGCTGGACCGGACCTTGCTTTGCCCAAGGCCGTACTTGAGGATTCCTTTGGTGCTGGGCTTCTTCGCAGACCGTTGGGGCGACCAAGGCGGTGGCAAAACTGGACCTCTCCCCACAGTACCGTGTTTGATTAGAAGACCCAAGCAGTAAATCACTAACCCACAACCCCAGTGGCTCCACAGCAAGACAAGGATGTATTACCTGACAATATCTGAACACATGAGATCCCACAGCCCCCTTTGTTTCAAAACAAGGAACCCTCCCAAAGGTCTTGTGACTTGTGATAATCAACAATGTAAGCGGAACCTTGACAAATTATTTTTTAGATCCGAGCATGTAAGATGAGGTATTTTCTGCAAGATCGCAGCAAGGCACATACTTAGCCCTAGCCAGGTTTCAGGCCCCGGCACAAGCTTCAAACGACTTCACTAGCTTGTGGGCGGCGTGTTAGCATATTGTTTTTGTTTGTGGTCTGTTCGATATTTTTGCACTTACTGTAGACACTTCTTGCAGCTATATATATATATAGATACCTCTGTCTACTTCTGGACTCCTCGTCCGCCTAGGGCACCGTGCCTCTGCTCTACGCGAGCCTCAGCTACAGGCTGGGATGACCATTAGTTGTGACTGCCCGGTACTTGTAGACTCTGGGATTGCCAGATAGCTTTGCTACAAATATTCTTTCATCATTATATAACAATACTTCTGCAATGCCCAGATCACATCTTTGCCGCTCCCATTGCTGCCGTCTTCTTTGCTGACCCCCACTCTCCTGCGCTGATAGTTGCCCGCTGCTCTCCAATGCGTGGATCGCTGCCCTGCAGCTGAGTCTGCCAGAGCCTGTTTCTCCGGCGCATGGTCGATGTGAGCTAAGTCAAACATGCTTCGGCAAGCAGCAAGATTGGACCAGTCCTGCACCATAGAATCAGGTGGGTCTCGTTCGAACATTGCAGCTTGTGATGGCGACCTGAGGGTGCTGATAAAGTGGCATGCACACGAACTAATGGTTACACGTGATCACAGATTCTATTTCCACACCCTGACGGTAACACATGTATCAACACATCCACACCTTGTGGAACTCAATCAGCTCGATCATGGGGAATGACATGCTGTATATACTGTAATAATTACAGGCCCGGTGGCCAGATGAATCGATAACTGGCTGCATGCGGGCTCATGTGAAACGAGCGAAGCACGCCGGACCTTCCTAGAAGTGTGGCATTTTTCTGTTGGTGCGATATGTTGAGGACCTCCATGTGCGTGAGCACGGAAAAAGACATCATGTCTGGCTCGGGAGGTGACTCGAGAGGCGTAGAATGGACAGCCACCTCAATGGTACAAGTGCAAGTGCAGTTTTTGTCCATCACATTCTCACCGTCACGTGCCACGTGCCAAGCTTTGTCCATCTCCGACTCTCACATTTGCGGGCTGGTGTCAACTGGATTTTGGCACTGTACCTGTGCAAACCTCACAGAGAAGCCATCGAAGGATGTTGAACATGTGTCCATTCATTAAAGAGACCCTTGCATGTGCAGGACTGTTCGATGTGAGTCTTGAAGTTGCTCTGACATTATCTTTCTGCGGGTGCTGCACTCTATCAGACTCTCCCACGGGCGATATGCTTGAGAGCTGACAGTCATTTTGCACAACATTGCAGGTATACTATTGCAAATTGCCATGTGCTGTGACTCAGGGACATCTCATGTGAATTTCAATTGAACAGGGCAGCTTTAGATCACGGTTACAGCCTGCAGCTTCAAGTGCTTAAATGATTTCTTCTTTTCTAGGCAGGGCTTGAAGGCGCAACTCTGCAGAGCATATCAGTGGGGCTGCGTTTGAACAATGCATGGCTTGGGGAACGGAGTTGAGGAGCACTGTGCCGTCAGCGAGCTTGAAGGATTTTTTGTGCTCCTTTCAATCTCGAAGTGGTGCTTTGGGCTGCTTAGCTGCCAGTTGGCGATGAGCAGTGATTTACATACACATGCAATATGCATTTCAGCAGAAAACCTTGAACGCCCCCTACAGTAGTTGCTTCCGCTCCTGCTCCTCTGGCACATCAAGCTCGTGTATAATCTCTCGGAATGTCGTTGGATCTGGCAGCGTGCAGGTGATCCTTGACGCGGTGCTGTTTGAGCCGGCTGCCCAGACGGGCGAGTGCGACGGGGTCCCCTGAGGCAAGTTCACGGAAAAATTACTGTAGATCTAAATCATACATACTCCAAGGAATTCCCAAGAAGGCAATGCGCGTTCAAGGGACTATCGCACTTCGCTGCGCCCTTCATAGGTGCCTCAGCCGAGATATCCGTCGCTGAAAGTTGTGATTAGCAGACTGGATCATTCAGTCTAGCGCCGGCCGATAGCAAATGCCATAGGCGCGCGCGAGTATGCCACTGCAGCCCTTGAGTTCCAGTGCCTCAGAGTAGTGGTTCACGGTTCATGTGTAATAAGCAGATGCTTTCGCAGGCTCACCTACGGAAACCTTGTTATAACATGTTATGACGTCTTTTCCTCTAAGTGATAAGAGCCGAGCACTGCGTCAGTCGAGTTATTGGTAAGAGCGGGCGGTGTGCACAAGGGGCAGGGATGCAATTAGCAAGAGCTGATGGCTTGCGCTTGCTCGGAACTCCTCGCTGAATTACTGTAATATTTGCGATGATCTATCCCTATCACGCAAACTCCTTGAGCGCATCAGTGTAGCGCGCGCAGCCCAGGATGTTTGAGGGCATCGCAGAGCTGTTATTGCCCCAAGCTTCCCCGCCAAGGCGCTGAAAGAGGCATGAAGTAACGACCTCCAATCTCGAGTTGGCATGGTTTTTGGTTACGGCTGTCTAGGACGGTATTTGATCTTCGCAGCCCCTAGCTTTCGTATCCAAGAATTTCACTGCTAACAGTGAAATACGGATGCCCCCAACTACCCCTTGAACAAACCAACAGAATAGAGCTGAGACCCTATCTGATTGTTTTATGCTAATGTAATTATTCAAAGAGAGCGCGTGCTTCGTCAAGGTATGTGTTCCACATACCGCGGCGCGCAATCAAGTGCAGACACGTTCTTCAGGAAGATGCACAGTGTTCCCCACTGGAGCTGGATCAGGAACTGGAGCTCCACCCCGACCCCCCAAAAAAGACAACAACTAATATATTTCCTTTATCAGAGGAAATGGAATCGCAACTCAATCTGGGACTAGAACTGGGTCTCCCCCCAACAAAAATATCAAGTTCATCATAGGCATTCAGGTGACAACTGGAACTGGATCTACAACTGGAACTGGACCTCCCCCACTTGGATCTGGGACTGGATCTAGAATTGAAATTGGATTTGGAAGTAGATTTTACTCCACCCAAAAAAAGGAACTGATCTGACCACTGGAACTGGATCTGGAATGGGATCTAGAACTGGAACTGGAACTGCCACCAAGTTGGAACTGGAGCTGGAACTGCCCACCAAAAGAAAGTAATTTCATCGCAGGAGTTGAAATGACCCTGAAGCAGACTTCACCATTCAGTCGATCCTTCAGGCCCTGTTTGTGGTCGAGGCGGCTATGCCTGCGGACCGCTTCTAAAGGATTCCAAACTGGCAGAAGAGCAGGCCATGCCAAGTTGCCGGAGCATGGTGTTGTCAGAGTACTGGGCAAACACTGTGGCTTGCAACGTGCGGCGCCTTCTTGCGGGCTGGGGCCAATCAGTTCCAGACACGCAGAAGGAGGAACTCACGGCTGTCGCAGTAGCCGCTGTGCTTTCGATAGCTTGCGGTAGGGTCCCTTGTGAAAGGCTTCGCGGGGCAAGTGGTACATGAACTGGTACATGACTTGGCGAAAATTTGGTTTGCAGATGGACATTGATCTGATATCACCTTCAACACATCGGGTCGATAAAGCTTCGGCCCTTGGTTTGGTGGGATGATCTCCGATGGCGAAGAGACGGCAGTGGCGCTGGTCAGTTGGAGGTCAGCCCCGTCAGGCTGTGCACACACTCCTTGCAACTGATGAATCGTGCTGCAAGCTGCAATGCGCGTCCGCACTACAGTGTGAAAATTTCATTGCGTAATCATTGCGTCTAGCTATCTATGAAGGCAGCACTCTCTCAACAATTCAGTCTGTATACTGATTGTGAACTGCGTTCTCGGCAGCGCAGCGGTTTTCCATTCGTTCAATCACTTCCGCAGTGCTGTAGTCTTTTGTTGCAATAGTGTACGCGCTCTTGTAGATAAAAGCCCTGCCTTGGTTGATGTTTATATATTCTTTTTTCAAGTGACCGTCACTTGATCCTTTTTAAACTCCCTATTCAAGTCCCCCAAAACCAGCCACTAGCCGACTAGCCGACCAAACTGAACCAACCCGGAACTGTGAGAAGAAATGAGATGCCAAGTTTTACGCTGTTTGGTCTAGTTTATATAAATCTATTCTTCTCAGCCTATGTTTGGTGCATTCGCCTTCAAAATTTCGAAACTGATTGAGAACGAATCCGGAATCACTGAATATGGATCAGTGAAACTATCGTTTAACATGTGCATTTTGAGCCCGAACTTCCCATGCACTACTGCTGACAGACAAGCAAGTCAAAGTAAAGACGCGTGAATGCTCACATGGCTGACCGCCTTTGCAAAGACTCCGGCATGTATCTGCGTGGAGGTATGATAACCTATCTCGGAACCTTCAAACTTAGGCAGCATAAGAATGCACCTTGAGGCCTGGGCCATGGCAGTCGCCTTCCGATCTCCTCAGCGTGCCCCCAGAGACTGTGCCAGCGCCAGACCGCAGGCGAGGGTGCTAACACAGACGGAGACCAATTCTGATCTGGACGTTCCTGGGTCAAACAATCAGAGACGTGGCACCTACGTGAAAAACGCTGAATAATTCCGAAATGGACTAGACACTACTCCTTTATAGGAACGGTTTTGGAAACAAACATTCTTTCATATTGATTCCCGTCCACGACCGGCCCAAGCGCATCCTGGTGTTCAATTGCAGGCACTTGGCCACGGGTGCAGGGCTTCTTTTCAACGAGCTGATGAGGTCGCGCCATTCGGGGTCAGCTGTTGAAACCAGAAAGTTTTGCCACCAGAGTCTCATGGCGCTAGTGGTCGGCCTGAATGCTCTAAGTTGACAATCCGGGCACGTGTTGTTGATTCATTGAGGCATGGGACATAGCAAATCTCGCTAGCGCGCAAGATGTGGGTTTGCTCTAAACCCATTGCGCAAGTGAACATGATCCTGCTCAGTAGGGATTATCCATCGCCTCTTCAACCTTGAGTTCCCTCCAGTGACCGCGCAATCTTCCAGGTCTCCACAGTCTGTGGTCCATGCTGTCCTGTCCTTGTGGGGCGCCCAAGTAAAGATGATGTACTTTTAGAGTTTGACAGAGTGTTGTTTTGGAAGCGGATGTCGAAGATGCTGGCTGGGTTGCCAGTGCTGTTGGTACTGGGTGGGCTTCTGGCATCCTGGCTTAGCAGGCTTTTGGTAGCCAAGCGTTCTAAGTGACATTACTTTTGGACTTTCTTCCCACATGATTGAGACCAGAAATTGTTCGACGGTTTATTTATCCAACAATTCGGAATCTGAGCTGGCTTTGCACCGCCATGAGGCAGATCAACTTTACCCAACTGATTACTGAACTTGATTCTGCGACAGTAACCAAAGTTAGCGCGAATGCAATAGTTCAGACACCTAGGAGCTGCTGCCAATGCAGGGTGCAGTCCAGAAAAATTTGTTTTGCATGTTTTTGCCTTGCTATCTGGGGTCTATGCTGGTGCATATTTTCTTGTGATATGTGCATAGCAATGTAGTCTTTGTAGACAGTGGTTCGGTGTAAACGGTGGTTGGTGTCAAAACGTGGTGTGGCGCAAACGGTGGTTGGCGTAAACCGTGGTTTGGTATTGCAAACGCAGGCAGAGTCGCGCATGTTTCTGCTTGAACACAAAAGGGCCTGTGGTAGGCCAGTGACATGGTCTCACGTCTAGAAAAACGAGTGCATGCTTTATGCGTTACACTCCCCCTTCGCGTCTTGCGCGAATTTGACAGCTCAAGGCCCTAGGACGTGTTGTCCTATTCTAGTCTGCTCCAACTGATCCGGTCATCGTCCGGCCAGTCGAACACATACGGTGACTCCGCACTTCCACTCAGGGATGGGGTCTGGTTTGCCTCCATCAACATTCCATAGGCACTTGTAGCCTCCTGCTGCAAGCCTGGGGGCGGCCGCGGGCTCGGCGCCATCGCTTTCGGCTGCTGTCCACTTCCACCTTGTGGGTGTTGACCTTGGCATGCCGAGGCTGCACTTCCCAAGCTGCCATCTGCTTGCACCCTTGTGGAGTCTGGGGTCGACCAATCCGTCGTGACCGTGGGAAGTGTTGACGAGATCGTGCCACTTCCACTTGATCCCCCTTCTGGCGCTGCCGTTGCAATGTAACACGGCGTTCCATTGTCCGTGCGCCCTTCAACCAGGGTCAGTTGTAGTTGAGGAACTTCAACATCTGGCTGCTGCTCCATCATGATGGCCTGCCTCATCAGGTCGTTCCGATGGAACATGCGATTTCCGACCTGCACCCAATAAATGGGTTCAGATCCGGGTGGTCTCTCCCAGTCTCGCTCTGAGTCTGTCAGGGCCTGCAGCGCCAACCTCAGCCCCTCTGGAAGTCCCGTCCATCGCTCCATGGGCGGCATGGGAGGAGGGGGTTTCCCAATCCTCCCTGCTGTCTTCGTCCTTGCACCTGGTAGCAGCGCTGTTGATGCGCTTGCCGTTGAGTTGATCGGTGGTCTCTCTTCCACCCACATTGGTCCATCCGTGCTTGCCGAAGACCTTGCAGTCCTTTCTGTCGTCATCCCAGTGCCCACAGGATCATGTACTCGTTGATGGCGTAGATCAGCTGCTGCTTCAGCCCTCATGTCTTCCGGAATGCGAAGGTGTGGAGGGAGTGTGTGCTCTTGTCGAGCCCACTCCCCAACTGGCCTTGTGCCCACATAGTAGCTCGCTGCTTTTGCTCCATGCGTCGGGCTGTGCAGTTCAAAGAATGTTTAGCCATCCACCTCCCCTCAATCTTGTTGTTCATCCGGCTCTCCCTTGTTGACGGCTCAATCCACGAGTCTTCCGAGGGTCGGCCTGGTTGTTCTCCACCAATGTATTTGATGGTCACCCTCCTGCCCGTCAGAATCTGTTCATCCCGCAGTGGATACGAGCTGTGGATTGGATGGCACCTCTGATACCTCATCTTGCAGTGGACCCTCGCCACAAAGTTCTCCACCACCTGCCACCGGTCTGTGGTGCCTGTTGGAGGGACATGGAATGGAGGATGCCACCATGGCTCATGCGGCCTTGCCCTCGGTGGGCCTCCATCATCCGCTTGCAGCATTCTCACCATGGCTCGCGGGCGCGTTGTAGCCTTATGGTCACCACTCTGACCCTGTCGGGAGCCCGTTGGGCTACTGTCAGGAGGATGGGTTCCCCTGGCGGGTTCATTTTGGGCCCTCGCCACTTTTCTTCTGGTCTGGTCCGATGTTCTCTTTTCTTTTGTGTATGGGTTCATTTCGTGCCCTCATGGCGGTTTCCCTTGCCTTGGGAGCAGGTCCCCCCCAGGGATGGTTCATCTTCCCTATCCCATTTTTTCTGAATCTTCCTCAACCAGGTGACTCCTGCCAACATGAGTGCAAGCGCCACCAAGTCTACCAGCTGCGATTCAGCCCCACTTGCAAAGAGCGCTGCTGCACACAGGACTGCCAATTCCCCTTTTATGATGATCCAATCATCCTCTGCTTGGCACTCCCGCTGCTTCACAGCCATTGCCTTCACCTGTGTCTGGCTCCCGCCGTGGTTCTCCTTCATCGCGATCTGGTTGACGAATGAATCAAACGGCCCCAAAAGTTGTTTCGTGAGTCCATCAGCTGGGAGTTCTGTCCCCTTGACATGATGTGTGTACCAGCCACTGACTTCACATCCCACCGCCGCCCTTAGGCCTGCTGCACGTAGTCGAAGATGGCGAGTCCTCCACGCACCCACATCACCCTGACACAGTGCCAATGCACTCTGATTGTCCCCATATAGTGACCTCCTCACATTTTCAATGCCCAGGGCTTCGAGCAATGTTGCCACCCCTTCAGCCTGTTGGAAGACCTCCGTGTAGGCCACCAACTCCGCTTCCGCTGTTGAGCCCGTGATGAATGGCTGTCTCGCCGAGCTCCACAAGATGGGACACTACCATCACGATCGTCCCGTGAACGGACCTGTAAGCCTCTGCTGCTGGTGCAAATGATGCATCTGCATATGCTTCAACGTCAGCTTCTCCCCTTGGAAACTTAAGCTCTTCTTTCTCGCCCAGTGGGTGTTCACCTGCCTTCCGGAAGTTAAGGCCACGATCAGCAGTGTCCTTCAAGTACGTCAGGATTGCTCTTGCCTGTTCACATACTTCTCTCGGGCGACGGTGCATTGTTCGGCTTAGGACTCCTGTGGCATGACAGACATCCGGCCTGCTCCTGCACGTGACCCACTGGAGTTCTCCAACGAGGGTCTGTGCCTCCCTCAATGTTGCGATATCAAACTGCTCATCCTCCGCCTCCTGGAGAACCGTTCCCTTCCACACTGATGGGCCCGTAACCTCCTTCTTGTCACAGAGGTCCCGGATGTAGTCTCCTTGGTGCAGCTTGTAGCCGTTGCTTGTTCGAAGCACTTGGAACCCGCAAAACTTCAGCTCCTGTCCTTCTTTCTCGAGCACTTGGCTGCCCGAGCACTCCCAGATGGCCTCCACCTTGCGGAGCACAGATCTAACTTCCTCTGTTGGCCCCACCATGATCAGGTCGTCCACATACGTCCCCAAGTGGGCTTTCACTTCACCATCTAGGTTCACAATCTTCCACACATTGGCCTCCGCCAACTGCTCCATTCGTCGTGCCTGTCCATTGCAGCTCCATGTCGCTCCTCTCAGGCACTGATTGCGATGGCAAGTCCAGTCCTCTGGCGACTCTCTCAACCCATACAAAGCACCCTCTGCCGCCCACATTGTTCCAGGTGGCACGACCCCTAACTGGGTCACTAGCTGAGGTGGTTTCACGAGGGTCACCCGATGCGCTGCACTTCTCTTTGGTGCCTGCAAGAACGCACTTTTGATGTCTGTGGAACCACATGTCCAGCCCCTCTGGCTTGCGACCATCATCAGGACCCTCAGTGCCACTGCATCGATGCCTCCTATTGATGTTGTCACCGTCTCATCAGGTGTGCCAAAATTTTCCACACCCCACAATCCTTGCCTTTCTTCTTCCACATGGTGCCTTCCGACTGCACAGTAGCTTGCCCGGGATGATCTCAATGTAGATGCCTGATTGCACCAGTGCCTTCACCTCCTCAGGCGTCTTCCTCACTAGTGTGCCAGTATTTTCCAACACCATAACCTCACTCCCCACCGGGGGAATCCACAAATCTCTCTCCTCGAGGATCTGTTTCGTTCCGACCAGATAGGTCTGCAACACCTCTGCTTCCTGTCGAGTTGCTTCCTTCCCGTTCCCACTGCTTTCATGATGTGGGTGATCTCTTGTTGGTCTTCTCGAATTCTTCGATCCAGCCACACAGCATCTCTCCTCAGCTGCCTGATGCACGCATCTGCCTGGCCTTCTGGTGATATGCTCATGGCAACCTCGTCCACAATCACCTGTTCGAGCCCTTGTCGGAGTTCATTCATCACTTGCACCTCTTTCGTGATGCTCTTGATGCCCTCTACGACGATCTCCTTCTCTTCTTTCGGCGTTTCACACACCCTGCACTCCCTTTCAGCTGTGACTTTTGGTATCTGTTCAGGTCGTCCTGGGACTTGCTCAATGCCTTCACCGCTGTATAGACTTCCTCCCCCCC